CGCCCTTGCCGCCGTCAACGTCCATCCGCCATTCGTCGTCGTCGACCTTTCAGTCATTCGTCGTCGCCCTGACCGTCATTCGCCACCCTGTAATCCATCCGTGTACTCATAGCTGTCCGTTCCATTCTGTCTTCCATTCTCGCCGCCCTGCGATCATCCAACCGCCGCGCGGTGTACTCGTCCGCAAGTTCTGCGAACCACCGACCGCGATCGAAGGTGCTTTTGTCGGATCCGCCATGTCTTCCCGCCGAGGTGGACGGGCGAAGGCTGCCTTGAAGCAGATCGTGGAAGGCGCGACCCCCGCGAAGAAGGGACGTCATCAAGCGAAGAGGCAGAGGAAGGGCGTCCAAGCCGTGGTTGCTGGCAGTGCGCGGGATGTTGTGGAGGAGGTTGTGGTGGAGGAAGAGATGACGAACGACGACGACGACTTTGAAGATGACGACGATGAACTACTGCCGAGGAAGGCGAGGGTCGGTTCCAGGGGGGGGATTAGAATAAACGAGGGGAGGGAAGGGAGACCGACCGCACGGCGCGGCGGTGGCGTTGCCGCGGCCAACCAACCAGTCTTCGTCGACGTGGCACGCGACGTGGCGCGCGACGTCGCAAGGAGGGACGTCGTTGGCCGTGCGAAGGAAGGGGCCGCATCGCATGAGGCTGCGCAACGCGTGCTTGAGCCGGTGAATCACCCCCGAACCCCGGCTGCAGACGTGGCGGGGGGTTCCCAAGCAGCGGTTGAAGGTGGGACGTCGCGATCTCCCGCGGTGGCGGCGCGCGGCGGCGCTGTGGCGGTCCCGGGAGAGGCGGTTGAAGTCCCGAAGGGAGGAGATGGCGCGGCGGGCGGAGAAGACGACGAGGCTCTGGTGCACAGACTGCGCGGGCAACGAGCGGCGACACATGCGATGGATGCCGCCGTCAAACTTTGGGAGGGTGACAACAGATTCGGGAACGACACGTAGGGGAGCATCGTAATGAGGATAATCCAAGAAGCGCGCGCGTATCTCTTGGCCGTGGCGCGGGGAGTGCAGCCTCCGGCTATTCGACGGAGCATCTCCCTTCCACACAACTCCATCCCCCAACACAAAATCGAGGACGAGTCGGAGCTCAACGCGGCGAAAGAGAGGGCGTTGAAAGTGCAGACAATCTCCCTCAGGGCGATCCATGGTTGGGTCTTCAAGTCGGAGAGCAGGCAAAGGGGGTATCACATGGCATACCAATACGCGTTGAATCACGCTGCCACGGACATCGCTAGGGCAATGTGGTCAGCAGAGGACTGGCGCAGTTTGGTGAGCCCAATGTTGTTCCGCACCACATTGAACGCAGACATGAAGTTGCCTTTGTGGTTCGTGGGCGTGAACATAGTGGACAGGCACGAGGACGATGAGTGCGCGGCTTACCAGGAAGCTTGTGTCCAGCGTCTTGTGCGGGATTTCACAAGCGCAGTTGGCACGGCAAAAGCTATGGACGGCGGTCGAGTGTCGTACGAGCGTCTGAAGGGGATGGCAGAGGCGATGAGGTATTTGCTCGCCGCCACGATGTGGATTATGCGAATGGCGGGGGACGATCCGAGATCGCATTACGACGCTTGGGTTTTCGTTCAACGGACGGCGAAGACAACGCTGCTGGCGTCCATGAACTGTCAGTTCGACACCCGCCGACACATCACGCAATCCGCGCAGGTCATGACGGACAAGTTGGGGAGACCGCCTCCAACCTTCGCCCCCCCACCTGTGTACATCCCCGATTGGGCGTCTAAGTGCGGGGTCACTTTCTCGCACGACGCCACGTTGGCCTCCCCGATGGAGGCGAAACGGTTGGATTGGCTGGGGACAGGTCCCCCCGAGGACGACGACGGCGACGTCGAAGGCGATGACAAAGGCGAGGGGGGGTGACGCATAGACGACGTTGATGGTGAGGGCGAGGAGGGGATGATGCGCAGGCCCTGTTCAGATGGCAGGTACAAGAGGATGGTGGGAGGGGGGGGACGTAAGGGGGGGGGGGGGGGGAGAAAGTGTTTGTGCCATCGTTTACGACTCTGTTCAGGGCAGGACGCCATGACCGTGCGGGGTTTGTTCGACTACCGTGGGAACGATCGTCGTACAAGTGTTGCTTTCTGGTATCGTTGATGACTGTATTCGGGGCAGGACGCCATTTGGAAGTGTTTTTATTGGCAGTTTTTTTTTTTTTTTCGCTGGATTTCGGCATGCCACTGTTCAGAGGTGGCATGCGTAGTAGAAGGTGTGCATTGGTAGCGCACCGAATATCCTTATGGGTGATGTTCTTTTTTAACTTCGCAACGATGCGAGGTCTTTTGTTTTCATTCCATTCATCACTTTTTTGTTTTTTTTTACCTYTTTTTTTTTTTTTTTTTTTTTTTTTGGAAAACGTATGCATGGCGGGTATGGTTTCATCTTTCATTGTCTGTTGAATTTTCGTGGCAACAAAGTTATGCGTCATGTTTCCAACGTATCGAACGTCCAATCCATCCTTCCGCCTTCCTTTCCTAAAAACAAAAAACAAAAAAATAAAATTTATAATACACAAAACAATTGTGTTGCAAACCCATGCAATAGCAACTCCCTTCAACATAACAACAAGAGAAATGCGGAATGAACTGGGTTTGGCATACAACATTGTGAGCGAAGGAAACTCAAATCTGAAAAAGGGATTCCCCTTAGAATGCGAAAGCATTTCCAGGTACCAGGAACGTTGCATTGTTTCCAATCAAACCCCTCACCCCACCCTCCCCCCGCCCCCCTCTCGCCCGTCATCCCCCATCATCATAAGTACTGCACGTTGCACGCATGGAACGTGCAACCCCATCACGCGCACCCGCCATAACGGCAATATCCGCAAGCACCAACTATACTACCTGAGCGAACAATAACGCTAACCTGCCCGTACTCCCTGTCCATGGACAAGGAAAAAAAGAAAAAAAAAAACAAATAAAAAATACAAAAAAGAAACTAAAAACCAAGCGACAGCGCACATAAGCCAGTCGTCGGCACTCAACACTGGACAACTAACCGCACCGACCACGCGAGACACGCCGGCCACATCTCGCTTGAACGACGCTACCACGGCCGGACTGCCATCGTCGACCGCCTCTTGCTGTGAGAAGTCTACCTCCACTTCCTCCCGCCACCGGATCTCCTCGGTGCTCCCCCGCTTCCCACAGCTTCGTCCCTCAGACTCGTTCCATTCATGGCGGGGTCTCCACCTGCGAACACGGCCAACCTCACTGCGCAATCATCCGCTCCGCCAATGCGTCCCTCAATATCAGCGCATCCCCCATCGTAGACTCCATGCACACTGGCCTCAATGGCTGATGCATCCCCAGATCCACTCTACAACGCACGCCGTCTGGACCCACTTCCCACAGCAGATTGTCGTCAAACGGGACGCCGGCGTCGATGAGTATGTTGTGGAGGATGCAGACGGCGACAAATTGTTGTGGCAAGCTGTCCATGTTGCACTTGTGGGTGCGGAGGAACAACCTCCACATCCCCTTCAGTCTGCCAAACGCCCTCTCCACTGCTCCCCTGGCCGTCTTCTGTTTGTTGTCGAAGCGTGCCTCCGTCGGGTGTTGCGCGAGACCGCCGTAAGGGACGACTATCCATTCCGACTGCGGATAACCATTGTCGCCGAGCAAGTAGCCATTAGTCCGCACACCGAAAGGCAGCATCACATGCGGGCCAGTGAAAAGTTGTCCTGACTCCGCGAGCACCCACAAACTCGACAGGTTCAGCATCCTCATGTTATGCACACTCCCCGGATAACCGACGAAGACGTCCAACACACGGAAGTTCATGTCGACCACCACTTGCGCCTGCACGGAGAATCGACGTCTCCTGTCGCAGTAGTCCCCACCGTTGGCGTTCGCGGGTTTGTCGATGTAGATATGTGTGCAGTCGATGCACCCATGGTAGTTTGGAAACCCCTTGGCCGCGAAGGCGCGCAACACGACCGCCTTTTGCAAACCTGTGGGCCATGATATCTTGTCGGGGTAAGCAGTCAGCAACGCCGCCGTGACGTCACGCACCGCCGTGATGTCGGAAGCCCTCCCGATGCCGAAGCTACACGTCCCGCTGTCGTACGTCTCCCCCGTCGCCCACCTATACAGTGCATACGCAATGATGTGGTCTGGCTGCAAAGGCACCCTTTAGAACGTCACACGACGTTCAAGGAGTGGGGAAAGAGTCTCCGCGATCTCGCGGAAAACACGAGGCGACATTCGAAGCTTCTCCTTGAAGTAATCATCCGTGGCGTCATCACATTGCCGCAGATCCTCCCACGTGCCGCCGGTTCGCCGCTTCACCCACCACCGTGGAGTTGCCCGTGGAAACCCCCCGCACCCCATCGCGTAGCAGACCTCCAGCACCGCGTCGGAAATGGCAGCCACATCCAAGCACTGCCCAGTCGTCAGAAGCGCCATGAGCTTGCGCCGTGCACGAACAGCCGCTTTGAAGTTYGYGTCRTTGCTCGCCATCTGGCAGCRGAAGAGGACGGCATTAACCACCGCAGCAATAGCMGTCCTCTCCGCCGYCGTCAAACCACCGCGCCCTGCCCCGCCGTCAACGTCCATCSCAGACGCCGCTTCCGATGACATCACGAGATTCACACTGGACTCCACAAACACCRSCACGYRCAAGATCACAGCGTCGGTGGCTGTGCAATATCTTGGGAGCCACGCACTGATGATGGTCGTCTCCCTTTCCCAGCGCTCACGTTTCGATGTCGTCTCCCTTGCCGCCGACGCGTAAACGACCGTGCTCATCGATGACAACCGCAGGGGACAATCGTCACTTATGCGAACGACACGAACGCCAGCCGCAGACGCAACCACGCCTGAAACGTACGTCCTCCACGCGCCGCCGATCGCAAAGCCTGATTTCAAATTTCAAATTTTGAACAGGAGCGCTGCGCGCCATTTCCAAGGGCCCCGGTTTTGTTTTTTTTTCGTTTCCCGCCCTCCTTCCAATTCGCGACGGCCAACAAAGGTGGACCACCGCCGTCCGCACGGACACAACTCGGTGGACCACCGTCAGCCCCACCCCCGCGTCCGCTTATGCATATATAAATCGGGGCCGCAGGAGGAATCGTCCTCGGGGGTCGACTCCGAGGATGAGTGGAACGAAGGCGACAATTTCCTCGGGCGACTCCGAGGATCGTCCTCGGGGCCCGAGGACGCCCCGAGGAGTGTCGAACGAACCCCTTTGTCAACTTCGTCGTGGATTCCAAATAGGAAAAAAAAAAAAAAAAAAAGGAAATCCATGGATGAAAGAGAGGTTATCCCCATGGCGCTTTGCCTTTCATTGCATCCTTCTTTCTCAATGCCAAGGCATCCACCGAAGGCATTATTTTGGATATAGCAGGGCTCTTTGCGCCCTACTTCTCACTTTCAATATAATGTCGTAGACTACTATCTATTTATTGGTTTTGAGGAATAAGGACTGCTCACTTTTCGGTCTCTGAATTATTAGTCAGAAATGCTGCTTTCAGTTTTGAAAAGCAAAACCATTTACTCCACTGCAATGAAGTGCAGCGCTACAAGCGGGCTGTATACTAATTTCGTCCCTGTCGTCATTGTCGGGACTTGATCCCGCAACCTTTGTCTGCTGTGTTGCCTGTTCCTTTGCTGTTTGTTTGTTTGTAGCATTGCGGGACTTGATCCCGTGACCTGTAACCTGTGTGTTTTGCTTGTGAGTGTTGAGCCCTGTGGGACTTGATCCCCGAGTCTGTCACTAGTAGTCTCTGTTTGGTAGTCCTAAGCCATTCGGCCTTTTCCTTTTGCCTTGTCTTAGGTCTAGGTCACCTTTTCCCTTGTTTCCATCTAGATACAAATGAGTCTTGGCTTGTTGCCTTTGGAGTCCGTCGTAGGTCTACGCAGAGGGTAGAAGTAGCGGGCAGGAAAATGAGTTGGGGTCTTTTCTCGTGTTTTCGGCTGGGGAATTCCCGCTCGTTCGCTATAGAAGCGTTGCTGCGTTATTTCGGGCGAGGGCATCTTCTTCCTCAAGGCCCAGCCATAGCTGGGGCTGGGATACGAAGTTGGAGGTGGCACTGCTGCTATTCAGCAGCTCTGCTCGAGAGCTTCCACAGGACCGTGTTGTTGGGTTTGGGTGCTGCCTTCCTTCACTTGGCAGCCATATCTGCTGTTCCTCCTCACGAGGAACTTCGTTTTTTTTCTCCTCTTCGAAGTGCTGGATTGGTTGTCTCCTTCTTCATCAGGACTTCCAGCGCTGGACTGTCGTGCAGGCGCTGAGCTGGCGCTGATATTATTGGGGTTGCTGGTTCAGACTGGCAGGTTGTGACAGCTGTGGGGTTACTGCTGCTACCGCAGCCATAGCCAAGGGTTTCAGGTGGCGACGAGGAACTTCAAGAAGAAGACTCCTGCAGACTTCGTTGAACACTTGTTTTTTTTGGTTGTTCGGGGTTGTTGTAAACGCAGTTGTGATTCTTGGAACAAGTACTTTGGATTGATTGGAGGAGGACGACGAGGGATTGCAGAATCGAAATTCGGTTTTCAATTCTCTGTGCATTTAGAGCTTCTGCTGTGCGTATCCTCTCTCTGTTTTTGTGTGGATTTGCCTCCTCCGAGTCTACTCTGTAATTGCATGCGTGTATGGGAACGTGTGAATTTGTTGTGGATGGAAGTTCAATCGGGTACATAACGCCTGTATGCTCAAGCAAGCATACATGAGATCCTCATCAAGACCCCAGCACCACTGGCGACGCCAGCGCCCACCCCTTGCCAATGTACCCCTCCCTCCTTTACCCAGTATCCTCCTCCCCTCTCCTCATTGCAATCCTGTTTCTTGCAGCCTCCTGACACCTCAGGGATTATGCGGTGCGGCCATCCCTTGTCCAACTATGTGGGATCTGCAGCAGTGATTGCCTTAGATCTCTAGGCGCGGGCCCACACAGGGCCACTGGTTCACCAGCCTTTTTCTCTTTCTTTCTTTTTTTTTTTTTTTCTCCGCCTTTCCCCTACACGAAAAGCCCTTGTCCACAATGGTGTACTCGCCGCTCGCCCAGTGAGCATTAATTTTGTTTTTGTTTTCCTTGCACACAGGATTCCAAACCAATCTCTTCTTATTGGAAGACCTGCAGGGGAGGGAGGGCGACTTTGTGAAATTATGGAATGTCTTACTCGCCCTCCCGGACCTCAAACAAGCTAGTTTATTGTGGATGCTCTTGCTGTTGGTTACCCCCTCAGCGGTATGGCTCTGTAGCAGAGGTATGGAAGCCCCCTTGAAGTGTTCCAGATGCTCCTGGCCCTTCGAGTCAACCAAGCACCTATGGTGGGATTGCCCGGCGTCAAGGAGAGTCTGGAGATGGTGGGAAGAACACTGGGAAAGTCTGGGAGGGGAGGGGATCGCTTGGGACGAAAAATGGGTACTGGGCTTTGTGGGGAATGAGCAAACAGGGAGAAAAGGATGGCCGTATGTGGCCCATGTGGCCAGGGCGGTTATCTGTTCGGTCATTTGGGCAGACAGAAACCGCTCCAGATTCGAGGGGCGCCCTTTTTCTGACGCTGAAACTAAAGCAGACATCAAGAGAGGCCTATGCGCAGCCATTTGGGCCGACTGGCGTAGGAAAGCCAAATGCGGAAGGGGCCCAAGGAGACAACTCTGGTGGTTTCTGTGATCCTGGGCAAAAGGCAATCAGTTGGCCGGGGTGCATACCTCACGGGGACTGGTGATCTCGAAGTGGCTGAGCTCTTGATAGTTAGATGGAGGTAGTTGGTAGAGGGGGGGGTTAAGTTGCCGTATAGGTGGACCAGGGTCCCTCGGTCAGTAAGGAGGAGGTTAGAGAGGGCCAGAGACTTAACCAGGGTACTCCGTTGGTAGGGATGCAGTGGTCCTTTAGGAGAGCCCCAGGGATGGGGGAATAGTATGTTCCACCTGGCCGCTTAGGCCTGGCCGTCGCTTTAGACGCCAAGTTGTAGAAAGAATAATGAGGTTCAATTGATTAAGTACTCTAGCAGGGTGGAGCTGAATAGTTTCTGAAAGGGGAGGTTGGCTAGAATTCAGATCTGTTTACGTATTTGAATATAGACGATTGAAGATATTGAAGTTTGATTACTGCAGATTGTGTTCCTGGTTCGGTTGGGACCGTAAGCTAAACTGGCTGATGCTGCCAGGATAACTCTGGGTCGAATTGTGAGGTCCCCGGCCTCAACGATTAATTGGTTCGAAATATAATAAGCTCATTTGTTTAAAAAAAAAAAAAAAAAAAAAAAAAAAAAAACAATGTCTTTTTTTTTTTCTTTTTTTTTTTCTCGATTTATGCATGTCATCCTTGCGCAGGGGCCACGCTAATATGGATAGGGACGGCCATCCTCTCGATTTATGTGTTTTGAATCTGTTTGTTTGGCTGTTTACCTTTGATTAAGATGGCTGGCAATATGGATAGGGACGGCTGCTTTCATTGTGGCTCTTTGAATCACTGGATGCGAGAATGCCCTCGTAGGGTTTCGAGCTTTCGCCCTCCTGTTATGGGCGCTAATGCGGTACCGACAGGACCTCCAATATTGACCCTGCCTCCTCATGCTCATTCGGCCCCGGCGCCGCCGGCTAATATTGCTCCCTCTTATGGTCTGTCTTCGTCCTCCAATTTCAGATCCGGCAACAACACGGGCTCTGGGAGTGGCCAACAACCTCAACAGGCTCGCCCGAATTGGTGGGCTCGTAATCAAGAAAGGCTTGATAAAGTGTATGGTAAGTATGTCGAAGACACCGAACGAGAAGCTAAGAGGAAGGAGGAGGAAGCCAGAGATAAGGCTAAAAAGGAAGAAGAGGAGAGATTGTTGGCATGGAAAATTGAACGGGAGAAGTTTGAAGCAGCAATGGGAGAACGATTGGAAAAAAGGCTGGACGCCTGAGCGATTATGAAAGGCAAGTCGGTTGATGTGAGTGGGGGGGATGTTGTTAATGAGGAGGCGCAGAGGTTGCGCAAGGAGAATGACGATCTGAAACGTAAATTAAGTGAGGTGTTGTGCCTGGCTGGGGAAGACCGGGTTTTATATCTACAGAATGAGGTCATGGAACTGCGTCGGAAGGTTGGTGACAAGCAAGTCAACGAGGATGTGATTACTTCCTTGAAGACCGAGATTAGCGAGCTTAAGCAGTCGGCATTTATGAAGATCAATTTTGAACAGGAGATCGCAGGGTTGAGAAAGGAGGTGAGCGTACTACGTGATCAGAATGAGCGTGTGGTTTCGGAGGCTGGGCAATGGAGAGAGCAAGCCTTGCGGCCAGGGAATAAGTGGGGAAGTGTGGTGTTGCAGACACCGGAAGTCACAAATCGTGGATCGCCGAAACCACATTGGACGGATAATGTACGGGAAGGGGAGAAATGGAAGGCTGAATATCGCAACCTGCAGAGCCTTCATCGTTTGGCTAATATCGAAGCAGAGGCGCTCAAGGAGAAGCGGGCTGAGGCTGAAGCCCGGAGGATGGAGGCGGAAAAGCAGGTTAAGGTGCTGGAGGAGGAGATGAGGAAGCTGATGGCAAGCGGGGAGAGGGGTAACGAAGGAAATATTGGGGGCACGAATCTTAAAGAGCGACTTGAAGAGGCGGCGCTTCGGTCGGCTCGGAAGGGAGTCAAAGCGACGCCAGGGAGAATGGGTGTTAGGGCCGCGTCGTCGTCAGCACGGCCTGAGAAGGAGCTTACTCCGAAGCAGGTCGCTACCTCGGTCAATGACCGTACGGAGTTTACCGAGGAACAGAAGCGGCAGCTGCGTATGCTTCGCAAAGCAGGGTTGGAGCCCATGTGTAAAGAGGAAGGTGTGAAGCTCGGTAAGTTCGAGGATACTG